TCTTAACTTGAGAAACTATATATATATATATACTCCTCATGACAACATCCCATGAACAATTCCTAAGTCGGATTTCCTTCAACTCAACGGCAAGAATCAAACAGTACCGTCCGTGGTACAAATGAAAGTGACCATCAACGGACTTTCTGTGGATAAGTTTCCCAATATTATGTCAAAAGGAATAAAGCTAGTGCACGTACAAAATATTAAGCCATCCAGGACTTAGATACTTTTCAATTTTGTCTTTGTGCCATGTACTGTTTTTTTTTAGTTCAGATTACAAGCTTCAACCTATAGAGCATATGTAGAATAATGACCCCTGCGGAGTGCGGACCACGGATGGACCTTTGGCAACTAGGGAATACCATGAAAATAATCCCTGATATGGACAGGATAGTTTGTAGATTGGAAAATATATCTTTCACGTGGTGATAATAAAGAAAGGCTCTAGGATTAGATCTTTCGTTACATTTTTAGTGTTACATTTTCTGTCATACCATTTATTAAAATGATACATGTTCCTTCATTTCATATGCATCAATTGATTGATGATTAATGGAGAATAAGCATATTAATGGGTTAGATTTTATCCAAATTTAATCCATACCCAATATATTTGGGTAAGATTTAGATTTAACTTTTCAAAACCAAACCTTACTTAGACGTAGAGGTGTCAAAATGGGTGACTTGGGCGGGTTTGGGTTGGGTAAAATGGGTAATGGGTATAAGTGAGTCAACTCATTTATACCCATTTAATTATATGGGTATAAATGGGTAAGTCAAAAAATAAATTGGGTAACCCAATTACCCATTTATTTTAACTTTTTGTAAACTCACTTAAATTCATTTTTGCAAACTAAGTTATCAATTTATACCACTCTTTGTACCCATCATTAGTTTTAAATATTTATTTATAATGTTCAATAAACTTAATTACCATTTTTTTTTCATTTATACTCTATGTCACAAAATTACCTATTATTTAATAATTGAATAATAAGAATATAAAAATTTGAACTAAGTACTATAAAAATTAATATAAAAACTTAATCCAAAAATTTTGAATCCCTAACATTTTTTTCATATATAAATTTAAAATTTCATTTTAGAAAGATAAGAAAATAGGCTAAAATTTATCATAAATGAGTAATGCTGAAAAATGAGCAAGTTAACAAACTAAGAGAAAATAAAATAATAAGATAAAACCAACAAATAATAATAATAATAATAATAATAATAATAATAATGAAAAAAAAAGTAGTTAACACCATGACAAAATGAAAAATTTGAAAAAAAAATGGGTGGGAGAAAAGAAGAGACTTGGGGGGAAGAGAATTCTAAATGGGTTAATTGGGTTTGATGGGTTACCCAATAATACCCATTTATTAAATGGGTATTATTGGGTAACCCATTTATACCCATATACAAAAATTTAAGATACCCATACCCATCTATTCATGGACGGGTATGGGTAAATTTAATTAAGTGGGTTGATTTGCCACCTCTACTTAGACGTAGACCCTATAAGAGAATCATGGGTTCGGATAGGATCTGATTTTTTATAATTTATATCCGAACCCAAATCCAAATCAAACCCTGCTTAAATCCATATCTGTGTTGTGTGTGTGTGTATATAAATATAAAAGTCAAAGTAAATGCAAATAAATGAAAGTGATGTAGATGAAATTTTGAAACTAAGTATAAGTAATTAATAATAGTTTTTTCTTTAAATTCATAATATTGCATTCAACTTCTTGAATGTTAATTTTATTGTTCGAAAACAAAAATTGGATGATATTTATGTTATTTTTTTTAACTCTATGTATTTTAAAAATATTTTTACTTTTTTTTACTGTATATTTAAAAATATACCAACGGATAACTGTTGAATATTTAAACCCATGAGGGTGCGGGTCTCAGTTTACTTTTTCATACTCATAAGAGTCTGGGTCTAGTCGTGGGTCTAACTAAATCTAATAGTAAATAATTATCTTTGTTGATAATCATTGAACCAGCTCTTCTGTGGATTTTTCTATTGTGAAATCATTCTGGCGCAAAACTTTACATTTATATTTCCTTAAATAGTCCAAAAAACCAAACAATGCTTTAAGGAAAAAACAAATACATACCAGTCGATTTCTTAAGGCATAGAGCTGGAAATGGCGATGATTAAGGAACAGTTGCTCAAAAGATATATGGTCCAACTGCCAGTTGTAATAATCGAATCATTAGATGCCACCAATTGTCATTCTCCCAAAAATGCACGTTACCTTGAGTACTTATCAATTGATTGACATGTTTATACAACTTCTTAGTATCTACGTTCTTTCAAGAAAATGGATTTTTTTTCCAAAATTATCTACGTTGGATAATAGCCAGGTCCACATATCCACGTGGAATAATTGTGGTTTCGATGAATATTTATTCAATATATAAAGGGAGAGCAATGTAGTGCTGCGAAAGCACACAGTGTCACTTTTTAAAATTATTGATTTACCCTTCATTATAAGTGCAAATTAGCCCCAATATATTCTAGAAAAAGAAAACCCTCCACAATCAGAAAAATTTATCTTTTTGAGCTCAAAGTACAACTCCTTGACACTAACTCCCTCGTATCCCACTTTTTTTTTTCCATGATTTTTTAAAGAATTAATCTTCTATACATTGACAGTGTATATACTTTCATCATTGAATGCATGACACATGATTCGAATTTGAATTTAAAACCTAAATTCTGTACATGTATCGTGCATCAAATCGTGATATTGTGTACACTGTCAGTGTATATAAGATTTACTCTTTTTTAAATAAAAAAACTTTCTCTAAATCAATAACTAGATTTTTAAGATAAATATGTATATGTCTATCACGATATGCAATTTAATATGAAAAAAATAATCATACGTTTTCTTGAAATTATAAGCACAAATCTATGATGTGCCAAAAGCACTAGTACACATAAAAGATTGAACTCGAACGAAAGAACACTAAGAAAAACATACCACGGCTTCAAAGAACTATGCATAAAATGCAAGAGACAATTTCTACATATGGCCGTATTACAAATTTGATCCTTCCAATTTTTATGTTAATTTTCACTAGACGTTGTTTTCAATGCTAATTGTAGGAGTTAAAGCGGAATATTGTCAAGCCATAATCAATAGATAGGCAAATGGGTCTACAATGTTTGGATGGAAAATTATTTGGAAAAGTTCTTTAGATTAATACCGTTACATGTGTGTTTGGATAGCAATATTTTTCCCAAATGTTATGTTGCTTGTATCACAATTATATTTTTCAATCAATCTTTTTATTTTTCTAACAACATTTTTATCTCACAAATATCACATTACAAAAAGCGCTATAGTAATTATTATAAATAATATATTTCTAATAATCTCCGATCAAAACAAACTCATTAATTTGATGTGTATAAGATAGGAAGATGATTTATAAAATAAAATAATGATTAAAAAATATGTTTATGATGCAACTGACAATTTTTTCTAGTTAATATTAGTTCATTTGAAAAGGGTTATTTGGAAATAAAAGAAAGCACGCAGGAAAAAAAAGTATCAAGGCCCAAAGTCATCACACAAACCCCATGTTTGATTATGTCTTTAGACTGAAGCTCAAAGGGAACAGATCCAACGTTGCTTACCATTGGATCTGGGCCATGAAGTAAAATGATAGCCCAGTGTAAATTTGGATTTTGACACCAATAGCTAGACTAGATTGGGGAATAAGTTTAGGTGTCTACCCGTAAAAAAATGATTCTAAATTCTAATATTTTTAAATGATATATGCGAACATGAAAATCTCTAAAATTAAGAAGCTGAGTTACTGATTAGTTTATTTTTGTGGCTTAAGTCGTACGTCATTTAATATAGGATTTTTCTAAGTTTAGATTCCTCTTTGAGTTCTGAATTTTACTAACCAAAAACCAATTGAAATGCACCACAACAACATTAGAAAGTACTGATTTTGTCTTTTCAGACAAATAGACAAAACATTCTTCAAATCACGTGGCTTTTGGTATCAATTGTTTGGATACATTATTTTTTTAAATAATATTTCATTTACGTCATAAACACACGTTTGCTAATCCATCTTTTTACATTCCCAATTATCTTTTTATTTCACATACATCACATCATAAAAAGTGCTACAGTAATTATTCCAAATAATATTACAAATAATGCTCTATCCAAACAAACTAAATTAATTTCCGTTAATAGAGATTGGCAATCATCATGCTGTTTTTGTATATTCTGCTAATGATTGGGCTAAAGTGGGACAAAGTTTAAACCTTTAGAAAGCAAAATGTCCCGAACTTTTAGTTTGAAAGGGATCAAAGTGAGAATTGAGGTATAATACAAAGGTGCAAAAAGAAATTAACTCAATCGCTAAAGATGCAAAATTTGCATAATCATATTGTCTGATTAATTTAACAACCTATTTAAAAAACCTTATTGGATAACATAAATTTTGGATTAAAGATTTTCTGAATATAAATCATTATTGCCACGATGTAAGATTTTTATTAAATAGTTATGAAGCTTTTTCTCAATGGGCAAAAGTTAAAAGTATTTTTCTTTGCGAAGGTTTAAAAGGTCCTATGAGACAAAGAATTTGGCAAGCTGATCCAGGCAACGCAATTTTGAGCATTTTTAATAATGAAGCCCAAACTTAATCTAATCACATAAAATAGTTAGTTCAAGTAGGTATTAAATTTTTCAAAAATTATTTTACTTATATTATAAACACGTTTTCTAATCATTTTTTTAAATATTTTTAAATATCTTTTTATGTCACATACATCACATCGTAACAAATAATTATTACAGTAATTATTCCAAATGACATTTCAAATAATACTCTATCCAACCACATTCATTGTGATTGCAATGCTGGATCATGTTGTACCCTGGTGATCCACTACTTTTGACCCGTTAAAGTACACTCTCAAAATCCAGGATTGAACCATCCTAGACAAACAATTTTTAGGCCAACTATGAATTCTTTGGGTAATAATTAAATAGAGCCTGTAAAATTTGAGACCTACAAGAGCTCAAAAATACACACAAAATTCCATTATGTTGCTATACAATTCTAAAATAACCCCAAACGTGGCTAGGTTCCATTTCCTCCTTCATCCTTCTCAGATTCTTCCATGAGGCAGCTATATATCAAGTAGCTTTGGGAAGAGTATTCACAATTGCCTAAGCAGAGCAATGTCCGGTGCTGCAAATACAAAAAAATCCTTGATCTCCATAGCTCATCCATAGCTGCAAATCATGCCAACCTTTTTGATGTGGTTAAAATATGTATTTGTTGAAGACTGATCACTACACCATTGAACCTCTGCATGTAGACAAACTTCTGTACATACAAACTTTAATGCACCCCATATTGCTGCCAAGTTTATAGGATTAATCTTCTATACACCGACAACGTATGCACTTTCACCGTTAGATGCATGATATATAATCTGAATTTGAACTCCTACAAGTCACCAATGGATCTATCAGCTAAACGTCCTTGAGAACAGTTCTGGTCATCTCTTTGCTCTACATATTTGTATAATTTTGATAGATACACAAAGAAGATTAAACCCACAGTACCTATTCCAGCAAGCAGCCAGTAGAAGTAATCGATATGTGCATGATTTAAGTTATCTAAGAACCAACTTTCTCTATCCCCTTGACTTGTAGCTTTGTCAATGATTGAGACTAGAAAACTGCTCAAGAAATTCCCTATGCCCATGGCACCATAGTAAAATGATAGGCCTACGCTTCTTAACTCAGTAGGAACCTGATCATAGAAAAACTCTTGCATTCCTACTTGATTGAAAACATCTGTGAGTCCAAATAATATGTATTGAGGCACCAACCACCAGAAGCTCATAGGAAGTGTTGCATTGGGAATATCTACCAAACCACAATCTTGAGCAGTTTTGAGTCTTCTCATTTCTACTAGAGCTGCAACAACCATGTTGATGACTGAAATGGCCATCCCTGCTCCTATTCTTTGCAGCGTTGTTATGCCGGTGGGATTTCCAGTAAACCTTCTTGCAATTGGGATGAAAATTCGGTCATAGATGGGAATGCACAACACTATAGTAATGGGGATGAAAGTCTTGAGCGTGGCAGCTGGAATGTCAAAACTTGGACCAATTGATTTGTCCAATGTGGTTGCTTGCTTGAGAAACAATGTGGAGGATTGAGCATAGGCAATCGTATACGTTAAACAAGTGATCCATACAGGAAGCACCCTGAGAACGTTCCTTGGCTCTTTTGCTTTGGTGGATATTACACTATTATCTATTGAATAATCATCTGCTGCAGGCAATGCATCCTTGAGTAACCTGTTTGAAAAATGCAGCACTAGAATATAAGACTAAAAATAGCAGAGATTAGTAAAGCTTGTTCTTTGCAGCGTTACCGTGTTAATATAGACACTAAACTTGTAACAACATTCATTCATAGAACATGAAGTTTAGCTAGTGGATTTGTTATCTGGACTGAATAGATTAATTAGGTAGCATCATAAAACCCACTGACTGACTTTGAGGGATTTTTTTGTTCTTGGTCTAGTTATATCCATACCTGTTAGTTTCTTTATTACCTATCTTAGCAGGAAAGATGTAAGTTCCTCTTCCGAGTAGAAAAGCAATAAGCCCAAGAATCATAGCAAGACAAGGAATTCCAAAACCAATTGTCCAATTTATGTTGTCTTGAATGTAGTGCAAGATCAAGTGTGATGTTGTAGAACCCATGCATAGGCAACAGAGCCACCAATTGAAAAATGAGCTCTTGGCTCTGCTCTGTCCTGGATATCTTCCGTCAAATTGATCAGCTCCAAAAGCTTGAATGCAAGGTTTGTATCCTTGAGCCAAAGCAACCAAATAAAGTGAAACAAAAAAGAAAACTTTGATTCCTGTATCCGGGCCTGATTTCTTGGTCATGTCGTGGTACGTTGGGCTATTAATAAGTGTCGCAGACAGGCTCAAAAAACCGAGTCCCTGCAAAATGTTCAACCAATTTCACCTCAGACAATAACAGGTGCTTGAAATACTGAAATTTGAAACAGAAAATTGTAAACTAACCAAGGTGTAGAGAATGGAAGAAACTATGATTGATCGGTAGCGGCCAACGAAAGAATCAGCCAAGTATGCTCCTAAAACTGGCACAAGTGATGCTACACCGGTCCATGTATTGACATTTGCAGCAGCTGTTGCCAATGATTCTCCAATTGGCCCGGTAAGATAGCTTATGAGATTGGATTCTAATCCAAAATACACAAACCTCTCCAGAGACCCTCCAACTGTAGATTAAATTCAGCCAACTCAATCAAATTCCCATTCTTATGAAGTTCTGCTGATGATCAGCTTGAATTCTGCATACTCTTTATTTTGCTTCTTACTAGTTGTTACTAGTTCTTAGAGAAATGGACAAAAGAAAACATTCTTAAGAAAACTTTCAGCAATATATATGCTTACCAACCTAGCATGAAAGATGCTGATCTCCATCCACCTGGGCTGCCATTGTCATCAACATCACCATGGTCTGCTTCATTTTTGCTCTCGAGGAATGGAATCTGGGATTCCATGATTCTGCTTCCACTCATCACAGCAGAGATAAACCGAAAATGGGACGGTAATGGCATTTCTTTTTCCTTTTGGTGGGGAAGTAAACGTTAACGGCATCTTTTTGTCCTTCATGATTGGGTCAAGTGGATGAGGAACCATTCGAGACAAAAGTTGATAGGGAAATGGGCCCTTAATCATTATTATGATGCATCAATTACTTGCACTTTGATAAAGATCGAGCTTCTTAAACTTGTTTTAATGTGTTTTTGTATTCAATCCCCGACCAAGGTTCTGTTTTTCTATTAAATTGATGGGTAAATAATTCCAACTGTCACTTATTTTCTCAATTCTCATCAAGATTCCATCTGTAGAACCAACAAAGACATCTTGGCTACCTGAATTGTCTCCCTTTAGAGCTGGTGGTAGGTAGGATGGAAGCAGATATTTTAATTTGAAGAGGTGAAATACATGTATATATAAACTTCTGAAATAATATATAATTTTTTTTTGGGAAAATGACCTGTTTCATCCCTCACATTTCGTAAAAATATTCTTTTCGTCCCTCACATTTAGAACGAAGCAAATTGGTCCTTCACATTTAAAAATCCAAGCTTTTACATCCTAGAAATAAACTCTCGGTTGTGAATCAAACCATCTAACAATCCAGTTACAAATTTTGGGGGTAGAATTGGTAGATCACTCGCAAAAACATATTTCCAACAAATAAATTAAAATAATTAAAAAATCTTAATTAAAACCCATTTGCTTCTTCAAAAGAACGAAATAGTGCTAAAGCTCTCAAGCACTAAACCCTAGCACTATTTCGTTCTTTTGAAGAAGCAAATGGGTTTTAATTGAGATTTTTTTCTTGCTTTAATTTATTTGTTGGAAATATATTTTTGCAAGTGATCTATCAATTTTATCCCCAAAATTTGTAATCGGATTGTTAGATGGTTTGATTCACAGTTGAGAGTTTATTTCTAGGATGTAAAAGTTTGGGTTTTTAAATGTGAAGAACCAATTTGCTTCGTTTTAAATGTGAGGGACGAAAAGAATATTTTTACAAAATGTAAGGGATAAAACAGGTCATTTTCTCTTTTTTTTTTTAAAAAAATAATTTTGGGGGCAGATAGTATAAAATTCGTAAGAAGTACTTTTCAAAATTTCTAAAATTTTAAGAAGAAAAATTGTAAATATCTAAAACTTGGGGGCGGGGCCCTTCCTGTCCCTCTAGTAGATTGGATCAATTGGATATCTGATATAATTCCATTATTCATTTTTAATTTTTATTTTGTAGGTCTTAAAAACTAGAATGAGACCATAAGAGTATAGGCATACCCCAAAAATTATGTAAATGATTTGTTACTAATAATATGGATTTTACTGGTCCAATTGAATTAACCAAATTTTTGTCAAAATGCAAAGCATTTTTAATATATATTTTTTGTTTTTTTTCACAGAGTTGTATTCCAATTCAAAACAAATAAAAATGAATACTTCGTTTATGATTTTTATGGCAATATTTACAAATTAACTTAATCCCTCACACAAAAATGCTAGCATAGAAAGAAAATTTAGACATAAGCAATGATAGCAAAGTGATAAAGCTAGTATAGATTAATGAGTATTAACGTTAAAATTTTATTGTATAAAATAAAAAAATAATAATTAAGAGAATTGGATTCGATATCCAAGTATCCAATCATGTAAGCTTGCCATCCATATGTGATCCAATCCCATGAATTGAATATCCGTATGGAATAGACTGAATTATGTAGACTGTGATTTTACTCTAAAGAGACTAGATGCATAACATGGTATTTTTATTCAATATTCATCAAAATCCATTTATGTTAAAAAGTTTTAAACTAAAAGAATTAATCAATGTGTTTATTGGAAGTTGTCAAGAACAGATAAAAAGGAGATGTTGGAATTGACTTTGCTGCCATCATTCGTTCGACCTGGATCTTTCTCCAATCTCCAACTCTTTCAATTCTAGATGAAGAGCCAGCCAGCTTTGCCTCTCAAAATTTGAGGCTTCAGATGGATAAAGTTATGAGAATATCATAGCAAAATTGGCTGCTTTTCTCTTTTTGATAGAAAAGATCATTTCATATAAACAGATCATGCTGTTGAAAAACGCAAAATTTGTACTTGAGCGTTCCTTTTTGGTTATACGATGATCAAATGGTTGAATCTTGCCCCATAACAGATCATGCTGTACCGCAGTGGTAACCTTGATAACAGCATTTCACGGTTGCCTAAATAGAGCAGTGTCCAGAACTCCAAATTTACAATCATTTCTTGTTTTCCAAAGCTCAACCGCATTTGGGGATATAGCCAACCTTCTAACTTGACAATTATATTGTTTGAACAATGATGACCATACCATTGAATCTCCTAGTGCCAAGCAGACGATCCGCTGGACTGCAGCAGAAATCGATTGAAGAATAAGCACTGCAAAGATTGTGCTGCAGCTCCAGAGTAAACACATTGAGGACCGGTATTAGACATAATCCTCAATGCAGCAATCTATCTATCCTTTCTGCATAGTCTACTTTAATACATCTACCATTATTGAATTGAACTCCTAAGAGTCACCGATTGGCCTACCCACTAAACCTGCTTGAGAAAACTTCTCGCCATCATTTTGCCCCACATAGCTGTAAAATTTTGATAGACGGACAAAGACAATTAGAGTCATTGCACCTATTCCAGCAAGCAGCCGGTGGAAGTAATCAAGATGTGCATGGTTCAGGTTATCTGTGAACCAAATTTCTCTTCCTCTGTCTTGTAGCTTTGTCAATCATTGAGACTAGAAAACTGCTCAAGAAGTTCCCTATGCCCAAGGCACCAGAATAATATGATAGGCCTACACTTCTAGTTTCATCAGGGAACTGATCATAGCAAAACTCTTGCATGCCTACCTAATTGAATACATCTGCAAGTCCAAATAGTATGCATTGAGGTACCAACCACCAGAAGCTCATAGGAAGTGTTGCATTGGGAATATCTACAAAACCATGACCTTGAGCAGTTTTGAGTCTTTTCATTTCGACTAGAGCTCCAACAACCATGTTAATAACTGATACGCCCATCCCAGCTCCTATTCGTTGCAGCATCGTTATACCAGTGGGGTATTTTGTAATCTTTTTGGCAATTGGGACGAAAACTTGGTCATAAATGTTGGATTGAATTGTAATTGGTATCAGATAAGATTCGTGAATATTCTTAATGTTTGAATGTATATCAATTAGAGATATGATAGGAATGATTGTTATCTATTAGTGGTTGATAGATATCTGTTAGTGATTGATAGGTGATAGGATAATCAATGACCTTCTTGTGTAAAGCCTATAAATAGGCATCGGTACCATCATTAGTCTGCATCAGAGAAATAAAGAAAATCTTCCCAAAACTCTCTCTCTCTAAATTTCGTTCCTTCAAACATGGTATCAGAGCAGGGATTCTAGGATCTCTGCTCCAAAGTGTTACTCTGATAATTTCTTCAACAACCAGCCATGGCCGAATCGTCTACGCTCACGGACGGTGGGAAAGGACAAGCTGATGTAGTTCTAGAGGATTTTGCCACTCGGATGGTGGAAGTCCTGAATAGCTGCCAGAAGTCTACACCGAGCATGGATTCGTCTTCGGCTCAGATCGGCATCAAGTTGGATGATACCAACTATGCCTTATGGTCCCAAATTGTCGAGATGTATATCTCAGGGAAGGACAAATTGGGGTATATTAATGGTGAACTCCCTCAGCCGTCACCAACAGATCCAGCGTATCGACGGTGGCGAACTGAAGACTCTATCGTGAAAGGGTGGTTGATAAATAATATGGCTCCATCCTTGATCGGTACCTTCGTTCGTTTTCCCACAGCAAAAGCGGTATGGGATGCTATTGCTACCACATACTTTGATGGAACCGATACATCCCAACTGTATGATCTGAGGCGGAAGGTGACTAGACTGAGACAAGCTGGTAGGCTGATCGAAAAGTACTACAACGATTTGCAAGGTTTGTGGAGGGAGATTGATTTTCGTCGGCCGAACCCGATGGAATGTGCTGCCGATATCAGCAGGTATAATTCTCTCATACAGGAAGAGAGAGTCTACACTTTCCTCGATGGGTTAGATGACCGACTGGACCAGATTCGCAGTGATGTTCTGCGGATGAAACCATTTCCAACAGTAGAAGAGGCATATGCCTATGTCCGACGAGAAGACAGCAGACAATCGGTGATGATGACAGGGGGAGACCACTCAATCGGCTCTGTCATGGCTTCCAAGGGAAGGAAGAATGAGCCGATTTTAGTACCCCGAGCCGAGATGCCAACTGAGGAAGTTAATTGTGCCCACTGCAATAAGAAAGGGCACACACAAGATACGTGCTTCAAGCTGCACGGATATCCAACATGGTGGAAAGAGCGCAAAGGGCGAAATTGGCAAGCTGATCGACTGAATGTTGCTGGTCAGAACGGAAAGGTGGCCGTTGCAGTTGCTGATATCAATATTGCCCAGGTGCACTCTACGTCTTCTACCAATCAGCATCAAGGTATGAACTCCTCACATCGACGCGATAGTAATTGGATTGTCGATTCAGGAGCCACTGATCATATGACCTATGATCCAACTGACTTCTCATCCGTAACTCAACCACGACGGTCGAAAATTTCCAATGCTAATGGTGTGCAGTATCCAGTTACAGGAGCTGGAACTGTTACTTTATCTCCGTCTTTATCTCTACCGAATACTTTATTGATTCCCTCACTGTCAAATAAGTTACTATCAGTAAGTCAAATAACTACTGATCTTAACTGTATGGTACTGATGTATCCAACCTTCTGTCTTCTTCAGGAAATTCTCACAAAGGAGATAATTGGTCGTGGTACTAGGAGGGGGGGATCTATATTACATTGATGATTTCAGTATCGGTAGAGCCAATCAGACAAGGAGTACCGATAACACCAAAGAACGAGAGATTCGACTGTGGCATCAGCGACTAGGACATCATTCTTTTGGGTATATGAAGCACCTTTTTCCAGCACTTTTTTTCGAGTATCAAAACTGCCGATTTAAAATGTGAGACCTGTGTATTA